ATGTCAGATGTAGGATGGACAAAGGGCCAACAAGAGAAGCTGCCCTTTTTTGACATGGAAAGGGGAAGAGTATGGACAATGGGATGAAGTTGAATGAAGACCCATGGAAAATGAATGAGACTCTCAGCTCCAGCTTTAGTCTTGAGGACGTACCACTGCTTCTGCTCCAGAGGACTCCCACATTTTTGGGCAGGGGCCACTGTCTCATTTGCCCTTATTTCTTCCTGGGCAGGATTCACCTGTTTCCACTTTCTCTGTCCATTGTTGCCTTGGGATAGCAATGACTCGCAGGCTAGAAGCATTCACTCACTTCTTCCTGACAGAAGCCAAAAAGCAATTTCCCAGCTCGGTCACATACAGGCAGTTTTAACTCTCCTAGTGCTCCCACTTAGTTTACTGTAGTCTCTCTTACTCGTAAAGCAAACAGAAAACAGCAAACCCCAAACACTTCCTTCAAATTTGGGTTTGGAATGTAGTGGTGCAATTATCTTAAAATACATTTACAGTAAAAGAAAGAGAAACTTATGGACTAAGATGTTTAATATGTTTCCATAATGAGCTCATTCAAGTAATTTGGAGACTGACCTTTAAAAATGAGGTGTGAGAAACTGTGACAAGGATATGTAAATAATATTTTGGCTTAGCCCACGAGATGCAAAAAGCTATGGTTATGCCTTAAGATGTCTTGAGATCACCAGACAGAAATTATTATCAGAAAATGGAGTGTTGAACAGAACAACTGTGGTGTGCATAAGAGGAATTCAATGCTCAGAAACATTTCATGATCAATACCTTAAAGAATACTGCACTCTACTCCTCTGTAAAAAACATGAGAGTTCAGCGTCAATAAACTTCCTTACCAAATATGTCTTTTGTTTGTGAGAAGACATTCCTCAACTATGTTTGCATCATGGCACCTCCAACATGACAGTCAATGGCAATTTAAAAGTCACTGAGGACTTTTTTAATGGAAGTCTAAAAAACCAATTAGCTTTTCTATATCTGTTGCTTTTGTCTTCACCTAAAGCTGCCTTCAATGACGTCAATAACAAAACCTGTGTCAGCAGGGCTCAAAAAGGTCCACCCAACATCTAATAAAATACTACATCAAATAAACACTTTCTTTACTGCAGTAATTAAAAAATGTGCATAAATAAATGTGCAAAAAGTCTTCTGCAGTCATTTTAGAATGACTTATCTCAAAGAATATCCAGTGACTATTCAGTGACTTCAATATGACCTTTCTTTCTGAATTTTTAAAATAAACAGTGCATTTGATGCCACCGTCACAAGCACAAGAAGCATATATGCGTAATGCTCAAGAGTCTGAACCAATGGTGTTATGAGCATTCACAGGAGCAGAATAAAAATATCACCAAATGCCTTTTCTCCATGACTTCTGAAAGACAGCTTTACTTACACTCAGTAGGGGATGATGAAGTCTTTTGCCTCATCATGGTATGCTGCTGTGTGTAAGACTTCAGGGACTGACTAAGAGGTGCTCACTGCTGTGTTAAAGGATTTTAATTTTCTTAAAATTTGGGCCATGAAAGCCTTTTCATTTTACTGACATACATTTTACTGAATTGTAAACTACATGTTAAAGTTCATGGCTATTAAAATGACTCATTTTGGATATTCATAGATACCTCCACAAAGGAGCACGAAACAGTGTACTAAGTTTTTGTATGGACCTCAGGGGAAAAAAATTAATAGGTGCTATTTCAATTTGATCTGACACAGAAAAAAATGCTTTAGTTTGAGGAGTTGCTTCTGAAGAACAGTGTGGTTCTCTTGTGAGATGCATAGTTGGAAAGTCTCTATAGGGGAGCATCAATGGAACAGTCGTTAGTTTTTCTTCATGGATCTCTCTAGTGAAGGCAAGCTGGCTCTGGATAGTGTGACAGCTGTGCTTCTCAGCCTGAGGCATGCACCAAGTTACCCAGCATCATCAAGGATCAGAACCACCATGAGAATTAGATGGTGGGCAGGACAGAAAATACCAAGAAAGGGCTCCTCCTGTTTCCTGCACCTGACATGACTCCTCAGCTTAAAATATGAGAAATATGAGTCACACAACACTGATTTACATATTTGGTTGACTTCTCACTGTTAACATGCAAGGCTGGGAAGAAGGATAATAAGAAAAAGCTCAAGATAACCTTTGTGGGAGTTAAATCAAGAAATGGAGATTTCTTATCGATACTGCAGATCCCAATAATCAAAATGCTTAGCACTGAAGTGGAAATTTTTGTAGAGAGAATGAACTCTGCTTGAAAGGTAAATCTCTGCTGCTATGAACTTTATAACAAATTCTGACTCCAAATAAAACAAACTAGAAATTGTTTTCACTGGAGCAGGTGATTTTATCATGACTTTTACTGAGAGGACAGCAATTCACAACACTGGAACCAAGAGCACAATGGGAATTGGAAAGAAATAGTCTGGGGAAATATTCACCGGTTGTAGTGAAGAAAGCTGTTGACTGAATGATAAACACGCTCAGGATGTCTACAGGTTACACTCTGAGCTATTTTTTTTTTTTTTACTTAAAATAGGAGGAGACCAAGGACTCCTACCTACCATATTCAAGGCCATCAAAGGCTTCCTTCTGTACTCCTGTAAAGACTTTTAGCACAACTTCCCTCTCACATCAGTATCCGTGTAAAGTCCTATACAAGAATGCAGTAGAAGCCTCCTAAATTGATGCTCTAATATGCAGCAAGTCTCTCTACTGTCAAAGAAGCATTCAGTGCAGCACACTGCAGTAACTCAAGCAACGAGCACATCACATCTGTGATCAAGTGATTGTCTTGCTACAGTTATTTGCAAGCCGACATTATTCACATGTCAATTAGAAATGGCTAAAAGGCACTTTTGCTGTTAAACCCTGTGTTATTTTAGATGGATCTACCATTTTATCGGAGCTAATGAGACTTTCTTTCAGTAATGTCACCTGTAATGTGTGGGCACAAACCTTACATTCTGAGCAATCCATGACATAAGAGTCTCTCTCATCAGACTCTACTGTTGCTAGCACCTGAAAATGGTGCAAATCCCAAACCTTCATACTCCTCTCTCTACAGTGACTTGACATCCGAACAAATTTCACTGCACTTCCACATTATCACCCCTGTTCTTCTTTTCTCTTTCCTCATAACAACTCCAGCTATTCAGTTTCTGTAAGACAACTCCCCCCCACATTATCTCTTTCATTAGAAGTTGTGATCTGGAAGACACCCTCCACAAGCCTGCATCTACATGAGTAAAACTGAATTGCAGAAGTCTAAATTATATTAGGTTCTTGCTTAGGTGGCACTGCTGTGTGGATGACATGCAACAAACACATCACATGAAGTTTGCTGAGGGATGAGTAGAACAGCTGTGGCTTCATGCATTGTTTTGCAGGCAAATGTACTTCCTTCTTGCCCCTGAAACCCCCACTGTGCCCTGTGTGCAGATTGGCCATGGGTCAAAGCTTGCAGGGATCTTCCTCTCTGTGTGCATGCTGGGTGCTGTGCTCACTCACTTGGTCCTTAACACTTTACCTTCCAAGCACTTAACACGCTCACTCACCTTTACATATTCAGAAAATTACATAGTTGTAGCATATTTTGGGGAAAGGACAATAGCATGAGTCATAACAAATTATGAAAACCATGAAACAGCACTGGAAAAACAGAATTTGAAAGAAGTAAGTGATTTAGTCATACCTCAGCCCTAAAAGCAACGACCATGAAGTTCAAATAGTTAAGGGTTATCCAGGAACCGTGAGAACACAAGCTGTAGGATATAAGATTAGTGGACATTTTGACTAAACAACCTCACCTTGACACTAGTTGGCACAACATGACACATTTTTTATTTTCATAAGTAGTTTCCATGAAAAGAGAATGGAAAGCAATACAAGTGGCAGGCTGTGAGACCTACTGATTGGTTGCACAACAAAGTCTAAGCCATGAAGTGAAATCCTGGGAGCTGTTACATCTTGAAATACCACAAAACTAAATAACTCCTATCTGGAGTAAATTTGATTGGTATTTCCCTTGAATACATGGCAATTTGTTTTAAACAGTGATTGCCATCAATGCTGTTGCAGTTGTATTCATTTTCTTTAGAGGACTCACTTAAATAACTTTTAGCATTTACTGTTTGAACTTATTTGTTTTTCAATAACATCCACCATGTTGTTGGTGCTGTCCACCCACACAAGAGAAAATTGCCCTTTTTTAAAGAGTTTACAATCTGAGAGCATTTGAATCACTGCAACACTGCAAAGAATATTTAAGTTCAGAAATAATACATATCAATATGATCAGCACCTAAATAAGGATGCAAAAAAACTTGGAAAGCCAGAAATTACTGAATCAAGATAAAGGCTCAAGATACATTAACGAGTACATTCTAGAAAGGGAGCACAGATCTTTGCTTTCTTAAGAAACTGAAACTTTTATTAATAAAGCTGGGGCTTCAGCAATGCTGAAAACAGACAATGAGTTTCAAAGGGAACTGCACATGCAGATTCGTCTGTCGCATTTGAAAATCCCAGTCAACAGCAACAATGGTGTTTGGTTTAAAACATTACATCATCATGGAAAACAAATACATTTGCCTTTTGTTCCAGGCAAGAATGAAGTGTGGGCGAGGGAGCAAACATGATGGTAATGGGTGTATCTGCAGGTAATTTATGGGCATTTGCTGTGCTAGTAAAGAAAGTGAAGTTCAGAATGACAGTGACAGCAGTGAAGGCAAACTGGATCCTGGAAGGATGTCAGTGATTGTGTAGATTATAAGAAAACAAGAAGTGATGGTGAACTTTCATTCCCTCTGGAGGCAAGTAGGCATCCAGTCTGTAAAGAACAGCTTACCATCCACTTCTTTTTGCTAGAGGGATTTTTTGGAGTGGGGAAACAACACAGGGCTTTCTTTGCTGTGTTTTGCAGTTTTTCAAATCCATATTCTTTACCTGCATATTGGTAACACATAAATATGCTACTTACTCCCTCATGCGTTTCAGTTTGGTCTCAGCCATAGTACTGTTGAGAGCTCTGAATCCCTGGGGTGTCCCTGGAGACACTCTGGTGACAGTCCTCGAGCCTACAAATCAATGCACAGACACATAACCTTATTCACCTTCTCCCTTGAGCTCTATTGCAGAATCAAGGGCAGTCAGAAGGAGGAAGACTATTCCTGTTTCTCACAAGGTAGTGCCACATTAATTAAAGATTAATTAGATTATTAAATGCACATTAAAGGCAACTCCTTTCTGAGGGACAAGTAGATTTATATCTTAAAGGCACCAGAATCGTAACAACAATTTTCTTTCTGTGTAGCATACAAGGCATTACAACAGAAAGGACAATCACTTAAGGAAGTGCTGGGGCAGATAAATATTTTTAAAAAAGATTTGCCTAGACAATATGCATTTTCTTCCATTGTTTTTGTACTTATTTTGGCAGGCAAGTCTCTCCTTTAGCTTGATCATTACTGTAAACTGGAAGTATTTAACTTACAACATCATCTTCTCCTTCAGACAAAGGTACTTTTTTATGTATGCATATATATACACACCTGTATATATAAACACATATATGTGTGTGAGAAATATACATATGTGCATAAACACACATGCCTTTTCTTTTTGTCTGCAGGCCTCCTGGGCCTAAGGTTCACATACCACTGAGGTACCCATCCACAGGAACACAGAAGTGCTGAATCACAGGGGACTGTCAGGGTTATGAGCTCAAATATCCTGGTTATATCAGGGTTATCCTCAAATATCCTCAAATATATTTCGTATAGTCATTCCATCACACAAGTCTGTGGTTTTCCTAAGGAATGTATGCATTTAGTGCCCTGACTGCTCCCACTGGAAGACAATTCCTAAGTCTCACTGTGAGAGCTGGTGGCTAAAATCTCTCCTTTTATTTCGCGAATAAACTTCTTAATTGGCCAGTTCATGCTCATTTTTCCTCCTGTGCCAATCATATTCTTTGTTCTATTCAGTTCTTTCCTTCTCTTTTGAATACTCCTTTCATTCCTTTATAATTGCAAAGAGATCCTATTTTAGCTTCCCATTTGTTAAGCTAAACAAAGCAGCTACTTTAGTGGCTTCTTGCAAAAGAAGAAGAATCCTAGTATTAGGATTTCACTTCCCAAAAGAGGATAAGATGTATCAGGGTGGGACTACATCCTGTGTAACTGTGTGGGCTGAGGCACACGGGACTCAAGTTCTGAACAGGAGTGGGAGGGTTCTGCGTATGATACGAACAAGCCAAAAGCCAAACATATTAACACAGTGCCTTGTCTAAATGAGCACGCACTCCCCTCCTAGCAGTGCTTTTTAGCTTGGACTCAGCTGGGATTTAGTTTGGATTGCATTAACATCGATCACATGGAGGCAGAGGGAGCTTGCAGCTACCCTCCTGCTATGAGCAGTATAGACAACCCCAGAGAGCACTAAATGCTTCCCTGGAACGTGTAATCATGGTTTTTCCAAGGGCTAAGCTCCTATGTCTTACATGATTCTACGTCCTGATCACATACATTTGAATGCCAAGATTAAAACTTTCCATTGTGAGGGCTCTTATCAAATCGCTCACAGTAAGCATCTGCTGGATTCAGAAGCTCAGAAGCAAGCATGGAGACCACAGAAGAAATGGATTCTTCACTGTTATCTGGCACGTTTTGACGTTTTAAAACAATTTCCTAGCTTATCTTTACACCTAATGGCTAATAGTTGTCTGGTGCCTAAGTATTACAACTGAGAAATAGTTAACGTAGTTTAAAAGACGAAAAATTACAAGCTCAGTTTTAACTAGTAACCAATTAATTCACCTATTAATGCAAAAAACATTTCCTGATCGTTTACTGTAACATTACACATGCATGTCCATACCTTTTGCCATGAAGTCTGTAAGCATTCAATCCCTTTAGTGGCACTGGACAATTCAGCTCCCCTCAGCATGGCCCTGAGGAAGCCCCAGGCACTGTGAAAAGCAGTGCTCATGAATTACTGTGCTCCTTTGTGAGTTGGCACAGAATTAAGGTCCAGGCATAGGGCTTTGAGACCAAAAAACATCGATGCCCTGAGCACCACTGGCCTAAGGAAAATATAATCTTCGTATTCTCTTAAGGAAGAGTACGTTTAACCACAGGCCCCAGATAAATTCTGGTATTATTATAGGATATATCACTGTAGTAAGAGTTCAGCATATTCTTTCTGCTTAGTGGGTTCAGTCTATTTATTGCTACAATATTTCCTTCTCCTCTGACATTTCATTATTAAAGACATCCTTCTTGGATTTTTTTTCCAGGCATTTCTGGTTAAATAATTCGTGCTTTGTCTACTTTCCACATTGGCAGTTGGCCAAGCAAAACTTCCTCTCTATATGTAAACTAGTATCTATCTTTCCCTCAATTTAATAAGATCTGGGTACTGCAAAGCAGCAAGGACTGCAGAATGCAGGATGCTGCAAAGATGTGGTTAATCATTAAAGAAATGAGTTCTCAATGAAAACTACTAAGCTTGACACATTGGTGTTACAACACACCTCAAAGAATTTTGTTAGGGTGATTCATTATCACACCAACTTTTATATCAAAGGTATTTTCTTAGAAGCAGTTACATGATTAATAATATATTTTGCACCCTGCTTCAGGCAGTTTGCCTACCAACACAGCGAGTGGAACTAAGCTTCTTCAAAAAGCTACCAGATAACTACTTGCATTTTTTATGCAATATATAGTTCTTGATTCATTAAACAAAATCAAATGAAACAAGAGCACTGACTTTTCAAAACCAGGTATTGTGGCTTTCTAAACGTATTTCAGAGATTAGTATCTCCCAGTGTCTAAAACTGCAGAGAACAATATAGGGCAAAAGATCTTTGTCCTTTCAGGTGATGGAGCACCAGTTTGAGGTTCTCACTGGGGTTCTGTAGGAAAATGAATCCTCTGGCTGAATGCTTATTCACAGGTGCATTATCCGGTGAGACTTTTCATACATTGTGGTCCAAAGGTATTCCTAAAAATATTTCTGCTAATGACCAAAGAACTGGTGACAGACATCTACTGCCTCTCTTGGTAAGTCACTATGTGTTGTGAAGCTATTATCTCCACTGAATCATAGACTTCCATTTGGATTTCAGATTTCTTTCTTCAGCTTTCACTGCTACATATGAGAGAGATCCTACAATGCCTTTTTGTACAAAGTATAAAAGATTAGAGTCAGATGTGTTTTCCTGATTCATAAACAATACAAAGTGACCCAACTGCCCCTAACATTCTCCTCCTTAATAAATTGTAAAATCAGTTTTTTTCAAACGCCCTTTCCTTTTGCAGCTCTTTTCTGCAATCTTCTCAATTTTTCAACTTTTATCAGCATGGACTATCTTATCTCAAATACACTCCACATGTACCTGTACAGCCAACAAAAAAGCAACCACACTAAAGCTCTGGTATTCAGTGTGACTCTGTGGGACCTCTTGAGGATAAAGCTCAGTCACCTTGTAAGTCCTTTTACCCTTAAACACTGAGGTTTTACTAAAGAAACTTCACCTGTGGAGAAACAATGTGTATTCATCGCATTCTTTTTATCACAGCCTTTGCTAACATTAAAAAAAAAAAAAAGTTCTGTTTTTTTCTACTTATTTGTTCACTAAGAACCACTTGAAACGACTCATAATTTTTTCACAATACCTGTAAAAATAAAAGACGCTGCAAGAAATTCTGGCCTGGCCAAATTTCTGCTTCTGCTCTATTACAGCCACAAAATCCATACTGTTTTCAGGAGTAGGCATTATTATATTGTAGCTCTGTAGCCAAGTAATATGGCATTGCCACGGCTAGCACCAGACCACACACCTGGATCTGAGTTTGCAAGGATTCAGGCTTTGTCTGATCTTGTCCTGACAGAAATTTTGATTTAATTGCTTAAGCTCTTCAGCAGTTCTTCTAATGACTAGTTAGTGGAGGCTATTTTGTTTTATTTCCACTTATTCTTATAACATACAACCTGGATTTTCAGATGGATAGTAGTGTTCAGTGTAGAAAGACACATCTATAACTAACTCAGTGTAGAGAAATGCAGGCCTGGTAAAACAGCAAATGCCTTGAAAAGTAGGGACAAAGGATGAGGTGTAAAGGACTACAGGCATGGAATGACAAGAGGTGGGGCTCTGGCTAGTACTGGCAATCCCATGGCTATAACCAACATGCATAACTGATTGCAGAATTTGAAACTGATTGCAGTTTTCTGTTAGTGTGAATTAAAACTGGATGTAAATGTTCCTTCCTTCAGTCCTAAGGATCTCCCTGACAAGGGATCCAGAATATGACCAGTGGCTACAAGACTATGCTGACCATAGCTTTGATTGCTCCCTTTCACCCTTCTTCTTTGGCTTTCTCTTCCCACCAGTCCATGCTCACAAACAGGGATGAAACAGAGTTCAGCACTGGAAGAACCTCTGGAAGGAGGACTTCCCAGGATTTCAGGATTCCCCTGTGTTCCAGTTTGAGAGCCACAAGATAACACTGAGCCAGGTTCATCCAATTGAATGAGTGTAAATGAAGCAGCTAAACGAGACTGAAGTTCCCATGGGAGCCTTTGGAACTCAGTTGGGCTTTCATGCAACTCATACACAAGCTGCTGCTGCTTCTGGCACAGATCAACTGGGTGGTCTTCAGGGGCAGTGACTAAGGCAGCCACAGTAAATAGTTTTCTTTCGTATATGTTTTCTTTTTAGCTTTTGAGTTGACCACAAGAAACCAGGCTTTCAAACTCTGAATTTATATATAGAATTTGCAGGAGATTTTAGGATTGCATTGTAAACTTAAATTCCCAGTGATTTCTCTGTACCTCTGATGAGATACTCCAACATAAATATCATCCAAACCTTGATCACAATTTGAAAAAAAATAAACATTTTAAATAATTTTCTCTTATTTTTGCCAATACTAAAAACTATAAAACAGCTTACATATCCTCAAATATTTTCCTCTAGAGAAAAAATGTTAGAAGCCAAGTTTCCAAAAGCTTTTGTTACGACATTCCACACTTCTGACTATCGTGCTTTAACGGTTTTATTATTTTCAACAAAAGCACTTCACTGTGCATGCATTTTCTTTCTGCATATTTATACTTCTCTGCAGTAGATTAAGGAAGTAATTTTCAAGATCACATTTTTTTCAGTTATTTTGTTGCAAAATGGAAATAATTGGACTGTGATGAGTACAGACTGCTAATAACTGCTGCTATTTAAAGAAGAGATATTGGTTTAAATAAAAGATATCATCTTACCCAATGAGCTATTATTCAGGACACCCTCCAAATACTTAACCATTGCCTCGATATCACTGTTCTGTGAATAAATGAAATAGGAAAAGCATTAGTGTGAACACAAACTTAAATATAAACACTATGTTCCAGACCCACAAACACAGAGGATATTACACCAAAAAGTGTCAAAACTAGACTACAAAGAAGTTACATTGCCAGGACTTTTTCTGTGTTTTCTTCTCCTAAAACACCAGGCTTGGGAATGGTGTCATATCCAAACAATTTACATCAGATTCCTTGCACAACACAAGAAAAACTGTGCATGAAATTTAAAGAAGATATATTTACTGTGGAGGGTGGAGTGTGGTCTCTGAAAATACAACAGCATTTTACCATCAGTTAGTCCTGGAATATCTAAAGCAACATTACATTGAAAAAGGCAAGGATGTGCTTCTTAACTGTGCCAAAATTTCTTATGCTTATGATAGATGCCCACAGCAAATCAATAGTTATGTTTCATGTCATTGCATCTACTTACACATCTAGTAACAATGACTAACTGAAAAACTTTTAGTTAAGAATAGAGTTTAGCACTTTTCTATTTCGAATGTTCTGTTACCAGATGGTTAGCAGTCTTTCCATGATATCTTTCATGTGAAATGCTGTTTGTGTACACAGATGAAATTTAAACTTTTGGCCATTAAGCAATGATTGTTGCCCAGGAAGTACGTCACAATTTTATCAAGTGTAAGAGAAACTTGGACTCCGGGTTTCTAGATATTTGATGACATGACATTTCTTGACTACTTAAAACTGAAAGTCAAAATCTTGACCTTAATAAAAAATAGGTCAAAAATATGTCTTTTAAAGAAATGTTCAGCACTCTATGCCTTTAAGACAATAAACAATGGGATAAAAAAAACCTCAATACTGACCTCCACTTTAATGGACAATCTGCTTTATAATCTTCTGTGATCTTACTCAAAATGCTCATTCTTGATATCTCAAACTGAGGAACTGCCAGTATACCTTGATGGGATAGCAATAATTGTTGGCAAGTACTGCTAGCTGGTTAGTGACCTTCTGGTGTCAAATGGGAGCTGTTCTGGATAAGCATGAACTAACTACTCTTCACCCCAAGTGAATATTTGAGACAGGCTCTGCTATTTCAGCACAAGGGGACTCGGCTTCCTGGTGTCCATTGCAACAGGTAACACAAAAGCTGTAGGTTTGAAGGAGCCTCTTTGCCCTTTTGGAGCAGCCTGTGGGATCCTGGATCGAGTCAGCACCAGGGTTTCCAGTTCTGCAGCCCACCCAAAGTGCCTGAGTTACCTCAGATGACCAAATTAATCTCAATCTATTTAACTGGGGCTTTTCCCAGTCAGCAGTGAAATGCCCAGAAAGTGCTAGAAAATGTATTCATTACATTTATATATACAATACATAGTAAATATTGAATTAAGACAGTATTACAGATATAATTTCTCAGTACTTCTAAAAAATTATTAAAAGAACCTATAAGACTTCATTAAAAATTTTAGTATTTTTCACAAAAAACTAAAAATTAGTATTAATTTTCTGATAATATAATTTTGTATTTTTTTTATTTTTATTCTTACTAAGTTAACCACAAATCTGCAGACAGATACAGAAAAGCATAGTAAATGACTGTTATTGCTTTAATAAAAACTTTTTTTTTCTTCTTTTTTAATGGGATAAAGACTGTAATTCCAAAACCTTTGACTTCTCTCAACAGGATATCATATTCATTCCAATTATAACAACAGAGCTGACTTTTTATGCTGTAAGGCAAAAGATACTTTTTCACCTCTTTAATCACCCCTGCCTTTTCTCCATGTGGGTTTAGCAATGAAAGCAGATTTAATTGTTTTATTTAATATGTTTATTTAATGTTTATCTATTTAATATATTTCTTTAACGCTTCTCTTTTCTTTGCAAAGAAAGCAAAGCCCTACAGAACAGGCTCTGACAGACACACAGAAGAGAGGCACTCCTACGTGTGAGGGCCGGTGTGGATGAATGCTTGCACATTTCAGATTCAGAACAAACAACAGCCACAGGCCATGCCAAGGCATGCATTAGGAATCCAGTGGAGCATTTTTGGGGTGACAGCACACAGACCACTCACAGCTGCTGGAGCTATGATAATTTATGCCAGCTGATTGTCTGGTCTGACAATCTCAGAAGCAACTCAGAATTTTAAAATAGTAACCTATTGAAGCACATTAGTAGACTTTGTCATAATGAAGAGGGTGAATTTGTTACTATGGTCACTAAAAGAAAACACAAAGAAAAAGGTGATAAACTGCAGGAGAGAGCATTAATTAGCATCTCATCTAAATCAAAGCCAATGGAAGCTTCACTGTGCACCAACTTTTCAAGATGAAACCTCTGTTAAAATATTTCTAGAAACAGGTTGTCCTCCTCTGTCATGATTTCCCCCTAATTAGAAACTGGTTCTTCTTGAAAAAAAACGTGAAAAAAAGCCATTGGCTTGAAGAGGGAGAGGGATGGAAAAATAGCAAATTGCTGCTTGAAATCTGTCAATCTGCATTCCTGCTCCAAAACAGAAAAACAAAGGACACTAAACTCCAGTGCTGGACAATGTATCTGAAATCAGACAGGCTGCATTGAAAGGTATCAACATGAGGAAAAAAGCTGTCTCAGCTCCTATCCTAAACCTTTAAAATGACACTGTTCCAGTGCCTAACTACCTTCTTAACTGAAGGTGCTGCATCTCACATAAGGCCACTACTTCTCAGTCTGTCTTGACATCTGTGGGAGTTTAATATAACTTGAATAAATTGCTCAGATCTCTTTCTACATCTTGCACCCCATTTTTTTTTTTCAATTAGATGACTTTTCTGACCCCCAGGCTACTGCATGAACGTTGGGATTTTTTTTAATCCTTGCTTGAAGTAATGGGGTCACCAGGGAGCACCCACCAAATGCAGCAATTCTGTACTCTCTGCACAGAAATAACTAGTAAAGCAATCTTGGAATTGGAAATTTGAGAGATTTGCAGAAATTAGGATGGCAACTAGCTTAAAAGTCCTTACATGGTTGCAGTGGAATGACTTGTTAGCACACACCTCCAAAAGCTTAATTTATGAAGGTATTTTTGAAGAAAGGATTTGAGAGTATGAAATACATCACAGAAATAGAAGTAGGAGTTTTGGTATTAAGTAAATGACTGCAGAAGCAAATCTCTGCTATTCTGGTAGGATTTGAAGCTTATTATTAATACTGAGCATGATCCCTCCTACCTTTGAGTGGGATTCATCTCGCATAACTGCTGACATCCAGAATGAAGATGTCCTGTGCATGCTAATAACTGTAGATCCCTTTATAATCATCAAAGAGGGACCTCTCAGCATATTCCATCTAACCTGCATTATGCTTTCTTACTTCCCCTTACAGTACTGACTTTCTGTTTAGTGAGTACAGACATAGGTGTTCAGATGTGCACAGCTATGTTCAGTCTGCCTTGACCTCGGATTTACTGCAGAATTTTTCACTTGAGATAGTGAAAATTGAGTATTTTCACTTCCCAAGAAATAGAAAAGGTGATTGTGTCAGTAGTCAGAGTCACTCTTATCATGTATCTAAGGTGCTGGGGTCAACATGACAAAAGCACAGATGATTATTTTCTTTGATAGAAGATGTCCTAAAAGACAAATGGTCATGGGGGTGCTTCCCAGTCAGTCTGTGCAGGCCAGTTCACAGAGGGCTAATGCTCTGTGTGCACACCAGCTGCTGGTAAAGCAAAGCCTCAGGGCCAGGGGGGCTGGACAGAGACAACAGGGTGCCAGTGGGATGGCTCTTCTAACCCACCAGGTTGGTTCTTGCCATCACTGAATTTTAAGTCACTGCAACACGAGGGACTGTCACTGCTTGCATCTGGAGGCCAACAGCTAATTTATTCTACATTATTGAGAAATCTATTTTTATCTTCTGCCCTTCATTAATTCTAAGCACCAGTCTGCCTGTTCAAAAACACTATTGATTGACACTTAATGACACCATCAATGAAAGCTGAATGAGAATTTTAAAAGGCATTCTAAAAAAAAAGAATTTCTCAGAGTCTGATGAAAAGGAGCAATAATTCATTTTCAAGAGTATCTTGTGGTAGACTTTCTGGGCAACAGATTCTTTGCATGTCTATGTCTTGTGGGTAAGCAGAAACCCAGCAAATTGAAAAAAACCCCATTGTCTAAGATATTCCACTGTTTTACAATTGACTGATAATTTCTTCAGATCACTACTGTACAAACTGCTCCTGAATTTTAAGGCATCCTGTGTTTGAAAGCTAGGAGGACATTTCTAGATTGAATTAAGCTGTTTCTGAGTAAACTTAAAGTTTTATTGGCGAGACAACTTCAGGATTCCCTGTTACTATGACAGAAGTAGTGTTCTCATTTCTTACACAACACTTTACTTTTGCCATAAAAAAATACACCTTAAAGAAGCTATTAGTTCAAAATCTTCAAAAAGTACAGGTTATTTATAATTTTGTGAGGAGCATTAGTATACTTGGCCGGTTCCCTGAAATGCAGAAGACATCACACTCTGTTCTGCAAAAGTTGCACATGAACACAGAATAAAATAAGTGGTCCTAAGCAGAACCAGGCAGTACCATTCAGAGGCATTGTAGGCAATGCTTTAAGCTGGTGGTCCATGAAAGAAATGAAGTGTTCCTGAGTGCCTTAGGAAGATCCATTTTCAGAACTGCCTTGGGCATTTAAGTTTATTGATTTCACTGAGACTTGATCACTGGAGACACGATTCATCTCAGCTCATTCTGGTCAGATCTAAATTAGGTGCCTTTTCCAATAATCTTCAACCTTCACACTGCAACCCCTGACTTTCTTATGGCAGCCTCAACTACTTTAAGCCTTTCAGCAATAAGTTTTCTCTTCACTGACACTTTCTGTGACTCTTGGGAAAGTCTACAGATTTTCTGGTCAAGTCTTGCAGCTGTTAAGGTTCATAGTTCATCACACTGTCCTAGAAAAAATGTCTAATACAGGCAGGAAGAAGGGCCAGCTAGAGGTGCCTATCTTTGCCCAGGAATTAGAGCTGGAACTTAGATCCTATGCTTGAAGCATACTTTCAGCTTTAATTTATTTTAAACCATAGCTAACACATGAGAGGACTGGAATCTGAGTGTTGTAGAGTCACAAGGAGTTTCCTGACAATTATCTACCTGAAGGCATTCATGGCATTAACATTCTTTAATGTTAAAGGAATGCAAGAATCTTTCTCATCAATGTGTCAGAAGAATTACATATGCATACACTTATAAGTAATTAAGTACTGATATACACACATATTCCTAAAAAAAAAACAACACACAAAAAACCACAAAAAAACCCCCCAAAAAAACCAAAAAAAACACCACCACACACACACACACACAAAAAAAAACATCAAACCACACACCAAACTGTAATGTCAGTAGGACAAATTCTCAGAAGAAACTCAATTTTCTCATGAAAAATGAGCATCAAATCTACACTGTTTTCTCAAAGGTCACATATACCTGGTTATTTGTCTTAGAGACAGTCTGTGATGCTTCTGCATCTTCGTCCTCCTCACTGTCTTCTGAACAGGATTCAAACTCATCTTTATAATATTCTTCTGCAATTTCTGGGTCTTCAGGGATCTCTAAAGGCAGTTATGAGTTCATAGAATATATAGGGGAAAATGTATGATCTTAGAAAGACAAAATGAAATTTATAGCACAATGTTATATCAATAGCAATGCATTCTGTAATTGAAATCAAAGGATAGGTTCTCAGATTAAAATGCTTGTCTTTGATGATATGATAAACAGTGTTAAAGCTGTCTGGCAAAAGGTTAGATCCTCATCATATGCAAATTAATGACCTTAAAGGATCTATATTGATATTGCACTGAAATCACTGAACCATAGAATAATTCAGGCTGGAAGGGACCTCATGGGATCATCTAGTCAAAGCAGGGCCAGAACTGAATTGAATCCAGCTTTTGTGAGCCGAAATCGTGCCTCACTTTGGTTTTCTCTAACACACACAACCTGTGGTGAATACAACTGCTAAGCTAAAATGGAAAATAATATATACCAGGTACATGTTTAAAAGATATGAGAAATTAAATCTATATATTTTTCCTAACTTTCTCCACTCAAAACAATAATGAAAGAAAAGAAACTTGTGTAAAGTCAAGCTATGCGTACTTGGGCGTAATGATCCCTCCGTTTATTACTATCACAAGTTTTGGTAATAGCAGTGAGTGCAATATTAATATAGCCATTGAGTCCATGAAGTACAATAATTGGTATTAAAACTCAACACATTCGTCACAGCAAGAAAGACACTTCAGTCACATTTCTCTGGGTGAAATACTTTAGCATCCTAGACTCTGCAAGAAAGGAGTTAGTGAAACAGCTCAAGGTGTGATTGCATCTGCTTCAGGGAGATAGTATTACAAGAAATGATAGTTGAAGGTAAAAAATGCTTAATGTTCAGCTATCATAAATCACCCTTGTCAAAACTTTAGCTAATGCTGACTTCCACCACTCTCCTCAATTAAATTTGCCCCTTTAAAGAAATATGAACTATCTTAAATTTTACTACATTTATAGAAATTAAATTCAAACAATATGACATAAAAATGATTATTAGATTTTTTTTTAATTGTTTCACATGGATGAAACCCCAAAGGATTCAAACAGGGGAATACAATTAAAATCCATTAAAAGACATTTGAGTTTAGGCAGGAGGAATAACTTTAACCTTTAAGACCTAAGAAAGAGAACTCAGGAAAAACGTGAAGCTGTATCTAACTGCAGCATTAGCTGGTTAAGCTCTCCTATTGAGATAGGAGCTTCACTATCTACTGTCTCCAAAGTAATTTAAAAAATACCACCTTTCTTTATAAACCTGATTTAGCTTTAAAATGCTGACACATTTTCACTCATGATTTCTGTTTTAAGATACTTATGAAAGCTGCATAACAGCATCATGCTCCACATTCACAATTCCTAATCCTAATCCTCCTGTTTCTATTTTTCACCTTTCTTAGTTTGAAAATCCCCAAAACAACTAATCAATATATAAGCTTCCAGGAGAAGAAACCCCCACAACCCAAAAACTTTTTCCCACAAAAGAAAGCATTTATTTTTGTTTTTATTTGCTTGACTTCTACAAAGTGCCATTTGACAGAAAAGCCTAGCACTTCATTAAAAAAGAAATCTTAAATACCATTCCTTTCAACGTGGAAAGAACACTACAAAATTAAGATACATCTCCTTTTCCATGTGGGGTGAACATCATTAATTTTTCTTTCTTGCATAGTGGCTGTCATTCCTGCAATTAGTATAATTTTATTAGGTACTTCTGCATTCTATGTGTATATTGCAGTGAAATACATACAAAACAGCCCATTTATCATGTTATAATACAAACATCAGACTACGCTAGTGTTTTGTGAGTCATCTTCTCCTCCCACGTTCTGCACTTGTTTACTGCTGTACTAAAAAATGCAATCCTCCCCTTTCCAACCAAACAAAATATCAAACCCAGTCTTTTTACTCATAATTGTAACTTCAAAATGTCTGCTCAGGCTATTGCAAACTCTATACTTTGTGAGCAGCCCATGACCACACAAACCTGCCGATGCCTTTGAACTATGCAGAGAGGCTGGCACTGGCTGTATCTCACTTCTATGCCAGCTTTTGCATCCTTGTTGGATTTATTCACTTCACCATTTGTTAAATTGGTTTGACAGCTGTACATAGATGGCCAGTTACCCTGAGCTTAAAAATAAACATTTGAAATGCTCGTTCAGATGCTAGAGATGTTCCACATTACATATATTTACTGGCCAAGATTCAGAAACTATTCCAAGTGACATTTCTGAAAGAAGACAGGATGTCCAGTGGATGGGAATTTGGGATTTAGCTAATATAAGTTCTTAAAACTTCTTGCTTTATGACTAGCATCTCTAGAGAAGGAGTTTTCAAAACTTCTACTCATTCATTTAGACTATCTGGTCCCATATAACAATTCCTAGAGTCCTACTAAGTAGAGCCAATTCACAGACCTTCATGTGTTGCAGATGCACAAACACATCTCTGGTTCTCTGCAGAATTAATCTGAGTACAGAACAGCCTATTTAGTTGAGACCCAGGACGGGGATGGGATGAATTTCCAGAACAGCTAAGATGGCTTTAGCACAGCATTTCCATAAATCAACACAGTGAGCTGTATCTGTGCTGGCCAAGTAAAGTCCAAGCACAGATAACCTGAGCGAGTTGGTATCTTCAGCTCGGGGCAGGCAATGTCAGGGGAGTTTGCACCCCATATGCTTCCATTTCCATGTCTCCAGTCCATCCTCTAGAACATTTGCTACCTGAGTTCTCCCATGATCCTGGATATTTTATACATACCTCCAATTTCCACAAACCAGGAGGCAAAAGGCTGGTTACTGCCCACATTCCTGAACATTAATGGTGAAGCTGCACACGTAGCAACATAGCGCAGCAGAAAACTCTTCGGTTTGTGCTTCCAGAGGAGTAGTTTTAATTAAAGTGTTTGTCTTTGGGTTAGGTCTGTTTGACTTTTGCATGCACACCTCTGCAAAGCCTAGCATGGGCTCCAGTGCTAGGACCTTGACCCTGTCCTTTGTTCTGGCATAAAATAGAAAGGTACTTGGGTGAAGAAGTGGTGTGAGTGAGGGCAACATCAAGCCTATTATGCTGAAAGAGGAAACAAAACTGCTGCTGCAGAACCCAGGGTACCCTGCCTCTGTTTTGTGCTCCCTATAAAGTTCAAAGGAAGGTCTCTACAGACGCTTCTGCCTCCTCACACCCTGTCAGCTGGTCTCTGAAAGTAGACTGTGCTTTATCCAGCTGTGTGTATTACACTAAGGCCAGTCACAGTACCTTTTATTTGCTTACAAAGCACTTAATTCAGAAAAAAACTCAGCTGTTGCTTCTGTATTGTTAGATGGCTTAGGTACAGCATTGAGACACTTGGTACTTGCTGTTAGATATTCAAAAGAAAACAAGCTCTGAATAATGACATTCTGCTTTAGATTTCTTTCTAAATAGTAACATGATGCTAATAGTGGAATGAAGGGTAAAAAACCAATATCTAAAAAAATCATAAAAGCATGGTTAATTCCCAAGAAGACAAGCTAAACAGAAAATAAAGGAATGTGATACTTGTAATATTTTGCTTAAATCCACCAAGAGCTTGTTTCAGGTAGCACGGTAACTCAGTAACAACAATAACAGTTTTCTCCAAAAATATTAAAATACTTTGATAAATATCTTTAATTTTCTCTTGCCTTGAAGTCATAATTTGTGCATTGATGCAGCATTTCCACATTCCAGAGCATGCAGAAGATAGTAAGTAAGGCCTCTTCTATTTATAAAAAGGAGAGAAAGGAAAAAAATAAAGCAGAATGGTATAACATATGTAAATTTTCACCACTTGTATTCACAGTAAGAGAGTCACGCTCAGGTCTTAAGGACTATTGTCCTTTTTTGATCCAAAGGCTTCATTGCATCTCTGGAAAAAGGCAGATTTTCTCAGCTGCCACATTCCCATCTTAATGAAAAAATTGCTATAGTTCCATGTAGTTACACTCCTCAGTCTGCACAGTACTACGCACAGGAAAGCGAGGAGCAAATCATTCAACTGCCCTGACACGTACTGTGATGAGATATAACGTACTCTTAACATGCTGACATGAACCAAGACACTACAGAGTGGTGCTACCACATCTCTGCTACCAAAGATTGACACAGAGAACTCAAGGAAACAGAAAGGGATTTCTGCCTTCAAGGAAGAAAACAGAAAGAACTGGAGCACTGTCACTGGGAGAGAAGTCTGAAACATAGACGTATGTTTCCCTGAGCTACATAATCCTGAATGAGAAATTCTGCTGCAAAGGAGAGTAAGGGCTCAGCGCCCCTCTGCAGTTCAGGTCAGTACTCACACGACTAGGGAAAATAAAATAACTCCATTATTATAATTGAAGCTCACTCAGATTCATTTGCTCCCCTCCCCCGTACAAGACAAAACCTTCAACTTTAAAAGTTTCAAAGAGAATCAGCATCCTTTGGTCAGCCATAGACCATATGTGTGTTATCAAGCTCTGAAGCTTCATTGTTCAGAAAGTCAGTGGAATCTTTTGTCCGTCTCTTCTAAACTAGGCTGAAAAAGACTCTCAGAACATGTGTTTAAGAAATGAACTAGGGGACGTACAGGACTTTTGTGCCCATGAAAGTCCTGTGCGATCTTTCTGGATAAGCACAAAAGGGTTATGAATTCATTAAAAGAATTACCTTCTGACGTGGCCGTGTACGGCTTAGACATAAAGTAAAATGGGTTTTTTCCTAGATGAGAACCAGAAATATAACCAAATTTAAACATTAATACTTTATAATTCTCCTCTTAGCCTTTCAAAGAAGGAAAAAAGTTTGAATTCACCTGTGGGCTTCACTGAGTGATGAATTACCAATTGTGAAATGTCTAGAAAAAGACAGAGATAAAGCAGATGTAAATCAGACTGGCCTTAGGGGGATCATCTACTACTTGATGTTAGAAAGGAAGTAGCAAGTTTAAAAATGTTTTTCCAAGAAAAAATTACTTTTGGAACCAAAATGAATTTTCCAA